TATTTTGATAAATATATTTAATAAGAATATTTTTGAAAATTAAAGAAAATAGGTGAAATTTTTGTTAAAGGAAAAAAAAAATAATAATAATAATAATAATATATTTAATAAGAATATTTTTGAAAATTAAAGAAAATAGGTGAAATTTTTGTTAAAGGAAAATAATAATAATAATAATAATAATAATAATAAACATTCTGTTATTTATGATACATTTTGTATGGCATAATATTTTGCTAAATACTTTTTTTTTTGTGGATGACAAATTGGTATCATTATTTGTCAATCAATTGAAACATTTCCTAATAAGACAATAATTAATCAAGCAAATAGGGTTTCTTTTTCAGGTAAGTATTAAACAAGATTAAAATGAATGAGAATTGAGGTTGAAAGGGTTAAAGGGTTATGTCGTGATGCTAGTGACCTTGACGATAGCAGCAGGAGGGTTAAATCGGGTATCTCAACTTCTAGTATTCACTTCTTTCATTCCCCAAATTTGATCACTTATTCAGAGGTTTCTCCTAAATTTATGTGTCTGATGATCCTTACCATCGATAAATACTAAATGGCCAATAAAAACGGCACATTGCGGTGAAGAAATTCCATTCCTTGCTTACTACCTTCACCTACCCTTCAACATTATCCATCATTTCTTCACACCTCTTGGAGGTCATCCTGAGACCAATCACACTTCATTCTTACCTTCTCATCCTCACTCTTTCATATGATCAAAAATAAAAGAAAAAAAATAAAATTAAATTAAATTAATTCCTAATTGTTATTGTTCCGGAATAACATTTTAATAGTAATTAGAAAAAAGAAAAAGAAAGAATATTGCAATCTAAAATGGAAGTGAATGATTATTTTTGTTTTTGTGTAAAAGAAATTTCAAATAATCTTTAAAACTAATAAATATAATTTCTTTTTTTTTCTGCCTAAATTTAGACGTCATTTCAGAAATCATTCAAGATCACTTAAAGAAATCACATAATTATCGTGCATATTTTATTTTTGTTACAGGAAAAATTAGCATAATTATCGGTAAATTTTTAAATATTCAAACAAAAGCACTAATGGCCATTTAATCAATCGACAGCTGTGAAAACAATCAGTGTTTCATGTTTGGCATGATAATATACAGTACCTTTTCAACTTGTGGCAAACAATTTTAGTTTATCAACGTATCATTTTTCAGCTTAATAACTAGTTTAAATAGTTGACATCATTTGAAAGAATGGTGAAACTTAACAAATGGTAAAAAAAGTTAGAGTGATAATTGAGTATGTTGCAAGTTTAGATGGTAAATTCAAATGGTGCACAAATAAATGTGTCTGATTAAAATGAAAAATTTCAATGAATTTAATCATTTTAATTCAATTAACAATTACTATAGATTTAATAAAAATATTCGTTTTTCTTTCTTTATTTTTGAGTTCATTTAAATAAAAGAAAGCCGCAAAGTGTTGGCTGAAGTGGAACGATGAGAAGGATGAATATTTAGAACAACCGTACATTTGCATGATAATTAACAATTGACTTTCTAATTAACGCACATATCTCACCAAGCTTCTTGCCGACATTTTTGCGCCATAATCCGATGTATGCGTATGTCCTGTCCTCTTTTTATGATTACATGAACCATAAACGTGAATCATCATTAAATACCACCTGCTTCTCCAATTTTCCCCGTAATCACCATCAAATCAGGAAATCTTTATCATTCATTTTCATGGAGACAATCGAAAATTATCATAATTACGATATAAGCTTCACCTGGCCCACTTCTTAGTAGCCAAATTTTTGGAGGATTTTTGAAATTTCGCTAAAAAAAAATCGATTCCATAATTATGGAATAGTTGTTTTGAAATGGCAATGCATGCCATGCAAACGTAAATAATTTACCTTAATATTTAACGTTTATTTTACAACAGTTATCACAATGAAAGGAATTCCATAATTGGAATTGATTTCACATTTGAATTAACTGATCAATTCCGTAATTAATATCTGTTAGACATGCAATGCGACACAATTCGTAATGTTTTCATGATTTTCTTTTTCCGGAAGAAATAAACCTTCCTAGATTTCCTCGATTTCCTTTCCTTTTTCCATCCGGAAAGTGACACATCACTGGTAGTACAATATCTATTCAATCATTCCGGGTTTATGCTTCCCGATAAATTTCTAAATTTATTTCAGTAATCCAGAAGGATAAAAAGAAAAAAAAAGGTTGGACAAATTTTGCAGCATTAAACGTATATTATACATGACGCAGCAAAATTGTCTAAAAAATAAGTAAATGTAAGTAAACATTCGGCATCGTACTTACTCATCACGCAGTGACAAACGTAAACATAGTGGTCTCACGTCGATCTTACATAACTAAAATCAAAAGAAAAAAAAAAGAAAAAGAAAAAAACCAAAAAGAGTAACAAACTATAAAGAATTTTCTTGCCATACATAAATTTTAGAACAAATTTGGGAAGATTTGTGGGATATATTTGAGCAAATTCCCATAACGAAAGTATTAAATGGTAATAAATCTAGCAAAAATTTCCGGAATACAGAACCGTAAAATCCCAAAAACAATTAGAAGTCTTTACTTTGTCCCCTACATCTCATACATTTCCGGTTACTCACAATAATTTTCACTACGCTTAAAACTCCCACCTGGTCACGTTAGATAACGATGATGAAATTTGTGAAAAATTACTCTGACTTGTTGGTTTAATCATTTGATTTGTTGGTTTAGTCACTTTAATTTGTTGGGTTATAAGTTGGTTAGCTTACATTATATTTGCTAAATACTATACATTTTCTTTTTTTTTTTTCTAGAAATTTTATTCCGTAAATGCCCACTTCATTCTACGTAGTGCTTGTTTCAAAATTCAAACAAAATTATCTCATAATTGCTTCGTTTCCCGGATATGTAATCAAACATTGAATAAATTACGGTGTCATAAATCATTTTAGAGATTCGTTATATTGGCAGCTGAAAGGTGGGCGAGGAGCTAATCCTTCATTTTACACTCAAATTGATGGAATCATTTGTTTAAATTGCATTTTTTGATATGCACATGATAGTAACATTATTAGTATATTAATATTCAGGAATTGATGATGCAAAGAATATGCCAAATTATAGTAACAAAAGTACAAGAATACACATAACACGTGCTAAAATCTCTACATGTTTTGTTAAACAAAAATTCTAAGCCATTTATTCAATATTGAGTGAGATGAAACAACTGATGATTCAGATATCTGAGGATTGACTTTTTTTTGATGTGTTACGCAAAGATTGCAATTAGTAGAAGTAAACAGCGCACGTTAAATTGCTAATAAAGAATACCATCAGTCTTCTTATGTCATCATTATTTGTCGTTGGCAAGCTATCTTGCACACGTCATCGTTACTTTTAGCGTATTACGGTTTGAATTTTTTTTTTTGAATTGTGGATGGATTTTTGCTGCTAAATATTGCAGATGTATCGTCCTCTTGGTGCACATCAAAAAGATATTTCGACTAGGCTCATGAAACCAACTTGTCCTGATATCAGGATCAAGGATGTGCTTCATTTGGTCAAGAACTGGAATCCGGCATGGGAATTTGATGGTGACATTACTGTAAGTATTGCGTTAATCAGCTTTTCAGGAATAAGCAGCTTCTTTCTTTTTCTAATGATTTATCAATTCAGAGACCTATATTCATAAGTACGAGTTGTGAAAACAGATGCACGTCCTTTTTTTAAGATTTATTGTTTACTTAAGGTTTTTGATGCCGGAATAGCGCAGTATTTACTAGCAGATGACCGGTCGCATGATGTTTTTTTGCTTCGCTTATACTCGGGAAGCCAAGTTTACGCTGTAAAATGGTCAATAACGAGCCGAAAGATGTGCTTGACGAAGAGGCTAATAATACATTTAACTTGGTAAAAGTTTGTTGAAATTACTAGATTGCCGATTGTTCGTGAAGAAAGTTTTTGTTCAAGCAGAATTTGTTCAAACACATTTCATATGTCGTGTCGTACTGTCGGATATGTGGTAGAAAATTGGAAAGTTAGTTTTCTTTGTGGGCTTATGACATTGAGTGATATGCACAGCCAAGGATTCATTACTGACAGTGTGAAATCTTTGTGAGTCAGGCTTGTTGCGATGACTATTACTCCAAAAGCAGAGGAGCCAATGTAATAGTATGAGGGAAACTTAAGTTATTGAGATCTCTAGTCTTTTGGTCGTGGTTTATAATTTTCCGTGTAGTTAGAAAGTAAAGCTTTACAGGTCGGTGAAAAGGAAGCTCCAGAAGAAGAGCGCAAAAAAATCGATTATTTGAAAACTGTTTTGAGTCGTAAAGGATATCGATTTACTGATAATTGAAAGCTACTGTTGGAAATATAGTAGCGAACCAAATAGAGAAGAGTAAATTTGGGAGCTTCTGATTCATTCTTTTTTCGTTTTCTTTTTTAGATGAACTAACGAGCACATATTTTTGAGACAAAAGCTCAAGTTTTTGACAAGTTTGTTTTTTTGTAGTTTGCTGCTAAACGGACGATTCTTTTTGTATTCGTAACGGTGGATATAAGATATTGGGGTTAGTCAAGAATTACTGTTTAAAAGAATAAGCAGAATCATTGTAACAACGTGAAATCATTTTAACTTTTCTTAAATTCTTTTGTACATTCGATTGCGTTTACTGTCGGGCAGAATAATTCATTCCTGACAATTTTCTAACAATTCATTCCTGACATTATGTGTATTGAAGTACTTTGGGAAGCAATTTTTCCTCTTTAACCAATCATTTGTCATTCCTATATATTACAGATCCAATTCCTATTTATATTTTCCTTTAGTTTTGTTTTCATCTTTTGATTTTATTTGTTGTATTCTTTATTGTCGCAATCATCATAGAGCTAGCAAAAGGTGGAAAAAAGGAGAAATTTAAATCTTTTCCGATCTGCTTTCTTCCCTTAAAGCATGTTGTTGACGATTACTTTGCTTGGGGTCAGTTTGTACATATTTGATGATTGCACTGTTTTAGAATAAGTATTGCTTAAACCAACAACAAGTTTACGAGGTAGTTTTGTCCACGAAGAGAACGGCTTCTATTTTCTTTCACTTATTCGTTTTCACTGTTATTATATTATTTTATTTTAAAAACTATTGGCTGCAATTTCAGCCCGATGTTTTTGGTAGAAGTTTGAGAACGCAGGATGGTAGATCGAAAACCATACTTACGTTACCTCTCGGACTTTTAAGAATCCGAATGAGGTAGTGGAAGCACACTATTTTATATTATTCATAAACCGGAATGTTCACTGTATATCTGATCTGAATATTATGAACTTCATCAGTAGAGTTACAATCCCGTTAAGCGTTTAAGAATCATTAAGGTGATTCTTCATCCGATGTAGTTTCATGGCATTAGCAGCGTTTCACTCTTATTTGTTCCGTATTTTTAACTTAGAAAATTCTCATCAGTCGACGGAATCCTTTTGCTCATTTATTTGATTATTTTTAGTAACTAGCAGTATTTTTGTTTTTGTGTTCTATGATCCTCACATCTTTTGTTTCAGTGTTTATAATCACATGAAACTGGAGGGAAATTCAGCGGTCTTAACAGAAAAAAAATGTTGTCCCTAAAAGAGGACAATTTTACTGTTTCCTTTTAGAGATAACCAAAAGATGTATATATTCAAGTAACGATAAGGTGCAGGATTCATAGTGTCAATAATAAATAAAGCGTCAATAATAAATCCATAGTGTCATATGTCAATAATAAATAAAATTGCTGGGATAATGAATTCATTACAAGAGGACAATAAGTATATATATATATATATATATATATATATATATATATATATATATATATATATATATATAGTATATATATATATA